CTCAGACAAAAGCCATGTTGATTCAAAATGTAGAAGTAGAGTACATTCATTATGCCGAACACAAAATCACTGCTTGTTTTACAAGAAAAGTGGTATCACATCTGCCCCAAATTGATCACAGAGAAAGATGGATATACAGCCTCTTTGGTATGTGGAACTTGTCATTTAGTTCTATTCTTTTGCTTATTGAACTTGGGAACATATTTTGTGTTGCTTCTGTTAACTTCGGTAACTATTTGGGTTATGATGGTACATTGACTAAAGTCCAAATTCATAGATAAAAGGTAAAACAGTTGTCAATCAACAAACATCCAACACAGTGTTGTATCCTCCACTGATATAAGAAATATGCAAATGAATTATGATTTTGAAACACAGTCTACATGGGTAGCAAGAAACGCATTTGTATCTTGAAATAACATAGAAATAAATAGCTTTCGAAAACATTTTTTGTTATAATACATTTCCACATATAAGAAATTCAGACACAGGGAAGGAAGTAGAGGGATGTTTTCAGCTTACACAGCTAATAAGCAGAAACAATAAGGTCTGAATTCTGACCTTACAGCCAAGAATCTATATCCTAATAGTCAGGAAACAAGAGGTAGCATTATACCCTGACATTAAAAGGGACTAAATTTCACATACAGATAACAGGAGAATAAACAAACCATAATAAGGGGTTAATTATGTGATCACAAACCATGTACGAGTCACCTTGGGCTCCTGTAGCCAAGCACCACAGACCAGGGTGCTTGGGAACAGCAGGAATTTATCTCTTACTGGTCTGCAGGCGGGGGGTCCAAGGCCAAGATCCCAGGAGACGGATCTGGCATGGGTCCACTCCCCGGCCCATCAGCAGCCATCTGCCCTTTGTGTCCTCATGAGGTAGCAGGACAAACGAGCTCTCTGGGGCCTCTTTCTTGAGGACTCTCATCCCACCTTCATAACCTAATCACCTCCTAATTGTCCCACCTCCTAATATTATCATTCCTGGGATAAAGAGCTTAACATAATAATTTAGGCATTTTGGTGGGGGATAAATATGCAGTCCAAAGTAAGTGAGAGTTGCAGAAGAATAAAACAGTTGAAAGGAGGCAGAAACTCTCTCACACTAACAAGTGACAGGCAGCCTTACGGCAAACGTGGGTGCTGTCTGCATCTTGACAGATCGGTGCACGTTTTTATGACATTTCACTGAACATTTATCACACACAGGTCCACGTGTTTCCCTAAATGCAGTAAGCCATGTGATGAGCCTGTTAGGACCAAGACAGACCAAGTGAGCCCCTAGAAGAAGGTCTCTAATGATAGTTGCTTCTCCTCTCTGTGACTGGACAATGAACACGCTGGAGAAAAATCAGTCAAACCACTCTTTTAATTTTACTCTAAACAGATCCAGTCTATCTCTCTTAGTATACAAATGTCTCTTACTTTTGTTCCCCTACCTTCCTCCTTGGTCCTGTCTGTGTGTGTGTGTGCATGTGTGTGTGTGTGTGTGCATGTATGCGTGTGTGTGTGTTTCTTATGGAAATTACCCAAACACAACTTCAAATAATAAATACTGGAGCAGCGATGGCGACACTATTGCTTGTCTGGGAAGAGCAATGCTTCATTTCATACATCATTTACTACTGCACTAAGCAGCAATTCCACAAAGCCAGGAAAGATTTAGAAAGTTGGGGAGGAGGGAGGCAACAATATCACTACTCCATCCCCATTATCTTGTAAAGTTTATTGATGTTCAATAAGAGGTAATTTATAATGGTGCCAATGACTGTTCCGATTTACACAAGTAGGAGAAAGTTAGAGCTGCGCAATGTTTCTACACATTTTATATTTGTCACAAGATTTACTGAAAAAGCAGTGATTTTCTGTCGCTCAAATCTGAATTTTCTAGAGCCCACTGTTGAGTTGAAAGCAAGTATCACGCCCACGTGCCCTGCACACTCAACGGGGCCCCTGAGATGACTCAGCAGAAAGTAGTAAGTGACATGATCAAAGTATATGGTGACCACTTAAGGTTTTAAAATTTATTACAGTAAAAGATACATTGCTATTAACTCCCTTTCAAATACCTTCTCAGGCTTCAAACACACTGACCCCAGCAGTCTTGCATTTTCTGAAACAGGTCTGGAATTCCTCTTTCGTGAGTGTCTTTACAAGGTGCGGTCACAAATACAGAGCATGCGGCTGTAGAGAGCCATCCAACAGAAAGACAGCTTCATAAAAAACACTACCATGTTTCCTTACCCACCTTATTCTTGGAGCCTAGCACTGTGCAACTTCTGGTTCCTCCCCAAAGTCAAAATGACTATGACTATCAAGGCAGCCATGACAGCACCACTAATGAAACCCAGAAAAGAAAACTTGCAGAACTGCTTCAGAAAGTTGCAAAGAACAGTGGGATAAGTATGCCTGGACGGGGTAGGGGTGGAGGGATTATTTTGAGGGAAATTCATGGCAATGTGTCTTACTGTAATAATTTTTAAAATGTAAACATCCACCATATTTGTCAGTCACACTGCTGACTCAGCTCAGCAGCCACTACCCACTGGCCATGCAGGAAAGGGATCATGGCCCTGTCTGCAGCAAGAGGAAGAAGGTCAAGGCTAGAGCAGGTGGTGAATGAATGCCTGTCCTCCCACCTGACCAGCAGAGGCTGCAGAGTTCCTACCCACCTCTGAATCCTCCTCCAAGCTTCTTTAATATCTGCCAACTCCTCGCTTCTCTATTCTCTACTCCTAGCTCTCCAGGCCTGTGGAGTGACCCAGAAGTGACCCACATGGTCAGAGGCTCTGTGCTCTCTGTGCCAGCATTAGAATGTCCTCAGAACAGTGTCCTGATGTCCCCTGGGCCCCAGCCTTGCCCACTAGTCTGGAAAGTGTGGGTTTGACGTGTGCAGGCCAGCATGGGCACACCAGGAAGCCTTTCCTGACGCAGAACATGCACCTCTTCACATCTGGGAGGGAGAGCAGGGCCACTGAGTATTGTCACAAGGTGAACATCAGCGTCTCATCACAAAGAGGAGATGGAGCATGGCAGAGTGAAGGAGGCTGGCTCTGGGCCACACAGGCAAGGGCAGATTCTGGGGCTGACTTGCCCACCTTTCCTGGGTCCTGAGCACAGTCTCTCACCCTCAGAGCACTTCCAGGTGCATCAGGTCTGGACTGCCGGAGAACCGAGTGCTCCTCCTCAGCTCGCGCTTTGCCGTGTGGCCTCAGACAGCCCAGTCCCTGCGGGGCTCCTCCCGGGATTCTCATCTCAGGAAGACATGAATTTGGAATTCATGTACTCCTTGGACATGTGACTTGGGACCTCATTTCCCACCTGTGAAGTGGGGATGAGAATATTGTTAGCAAGATGCTAGCAGGTGCTGAATAACTAGATGTCATTAAAAAAGCTAAATAAACCAACAAACAGGAAGAAACTTCTGATTTTATAGCATTTGACAATTTCCATGGTGCAAATACTTCCCCTTTAGCCAATTTCAAGCTGTCACTGAATGCGAAGTTGAGAAAAAAGGACACAGTTGAGTCTCATGACCCAGAATCTTCTAATAACCTATGCAGTATGGGAATCAAGACGCTTTAACCAGGAATGCACAGTCAGTATTTAAAGTGCTTAATCCAGTGTCTGGCATACAGTAGGTCTGCTTATATAGCTGTGCCTCATACCAGCCAGGCTTCTCATTTAGGAGCCCTACTTTCTGTTCGAAATGCTGTGAGCAAACCCCCTCTTCTGGAGATCTGGAATGTCAATGGTCTTTAAATAATATAAGCCTGTCATTCTTAGTGCCTGATGAATTGCTTCCAGTGTGTATGTGCAGGATGTCATACGCAAGGATTCAGTGAAGGTACACCCCCCGGCTCCCATCAAGACAGCAGCATCTCTGTCCTGTGGCCAGCACCACAGAACTTCTGCCAACATACAATCTGCAGGACATCATTTTACCTTTAGCAAGTTCCTAATGTGTTTGTTCCTTTCCTAAGCAACAGCCATTCAACAAAGGAACAAAGTCACATTGTTCAAAGCAAACAACTCCAGTATCAGTTGGAACAAATACACAATCACACTCTCAGACCTCAGTCTCCAGACCCAGCTGGACAAAGCAGCATGGAAATTCTCAAGGCTACGAGGCCAAAGAACACACCTTTATCTGCTTTCAAAAGGCCTCTCTCAAGTGTAGATTTTTTGTGGGCTCTTCCCCCTCCTCTCGCTGTTACTAGCCTCATTTTCAAAACCTGAAAATAGCATGTCTCTCCCTTCTGATGGGTCTGTTCCCTGTGACTAGATTGATTTTTTTTCCCTGAACTTCCCCCTCCTTGTGTTTTGAGGAAGACAAAAGGTTCTCTTTGCTTTTCTGTTCATTTCCTAAGGTCTCCATAATAAAAATACGGCTTCACCTTTTAATGTCGTCTTCCTACATGTGGTACTGAATGAACATTTTGGACTCTTCTTCCATTAAATGTCCTATGATTCTGCAAAGAATCGCTATTTTTCTGGTCTCTCACATGAAGCAATCCTGGGCAATGAGCAGGAGGACATGCAGCATGGAAGGCCTTTCTGCTACTTGCAACACACCCAACAGACCTTTGGAAGCCCATGGATTTGTGATAAGGGGCACACAGGGAAACTTCTAGAGAACTTGTGGCCAGCAGTGCACAGGATCCAGCCATTCTATGATGGAAAGAAGGAAGGTTGGATGGAAATGAATCTCGTCTGGCGGTTTAGCCAGCCCTCAACACCTGGTGTGGCCTCTTGCACACATTTTTATAAAAATGACTCTATTTAGCAAGGTAACTGCTTACTTGGCAACACATGGTGGGGAATGCCTCATTGACTTGATGGAGGTGCAAGGGAGAGTACCCAGGATGCAGAACAGAATGGATGAGTCACTCTGGGAGTCTGACCTGGGAATGACAACCTTGCCTGGAGGGACAGGAGGGCAGGGCCTCAATGACTCCCAGGAGGAGGGCTGTGTTTTAGGGAATGGCAAGATTGCTGAATCTCTCTAGATGTTAAGGGTGAGAGAGGAAATAGCAGAGCCTCAAATCGAAGTGCGCATGGACCTGTGTATGTCCATGGCCTTGGTTGGCCACGGTCTATACTTCTTAGACAATGCACGAGTGGAATGGTTTTTCTTTTAAGATCATATATTTAGTAAAAACTTAGGTATGAAGTATACTCTGGGGCCTGAGCCTGTTGGCTTTCAAAAGGAGTATAAGATGCTCACACACTTGGTACCCACTCTTCCTCCCCCTCACCATCCTCAAGGTCCTTCTTCAATCTATTAAAGACCAGTGTGGATAGAAGCGATATTCCCTGCTCAGAACTCTCAAGGTGATTGTTGTGCATGTAATTCAATTTGCTACCAAATGGTACTGGGAGATCACTCCCATAGTTGTCCTAAACCGTTATTTATATTTTAAAGTATTGTTTAATTATATATGTAATTAAACCCAAGTCCTTTGCACTGAACTACATCCCCAGCCCTTTTTATTTTTTTATTTTGAGATGGGGTCTCACTAAGTCAGTAACTTGTCCATACTTGGCTCAAATTTGCTATTTTCATGTTCCAGCCTCTGTGAGCGCTGGTTTTCTATTCATTTTTAAATCAACTTAATTGAGTCATAATTCATATATAGCAAGATACACAGAATTGAAGTGGCCAGCTGATGGGAGATATGCTCAGATAAGGATAGAACATTTTACTGTTCTTAGCTTTTGCTCCCTCCCTACCCAATCACTGATGCAGGCCAGTGGCATGACCATCGTAGCCCAGGTTGTGGTCTTCAAATCATTGATGTTAGCCACTGCTTCCACTATTGTATTAGAAACTCTTAAAAGTAGAAGATGCTTTAACAATTCAGTTGGCCCACATTTGGAGACTTAGTGTGATAAGTCACAGGATAAAGATCTCAAGGACAGTGCAACAAAGACTGTAGGAAACATCTCTGCCCTTCAGGAAATCACAGTCTAGCTGAAAAAGCACACACATATGAGCACACACACATGCATGCACAAATGCATGGAAAAAATAATGCTAAATTTCTTTTAAAGTAGGACCCAATAAACCATGGACTAAACCCACTAAAAATATGAACCAAAATAAACCTGTCCTCCTTTAAGTTTCAAGTGTCAGGTATTTTGTCCCCACAACAGGAAAGCTGATATGTCTGTCTCTCCCTAAAAGGCATTATATGGAGATAGAAACAGAACTTGGTTGATTATTTTTCAAGAGTTTGACATGTTGTTAACTTACAATCAATAATACTAACTGAGACTTTGAGGACTTCATACTTTTAAAGTGACTTCATACTATTTACGTCACAGATTCTCACAGCAATCCTGGAAGTCTAACATGTCAAGTATTTTTACTATAGTTGATATTGTTACTACTGCCACAAATGCTTTTGTTTTGGATTTTTCAGAGGGAGAAACTGAGACTTTAAGCGGTCCTAAACATTTTCAAGAGAACTGTTCAGATGGACTTGAACTTGAATCTTGGGAATAAACTTCAACAACTTGCTGTAGAAGGAGAAAGAAGGGCCGGCCAGATGGATGTATCCGGAAGACTGTGTTGCTGAACCCAATCTGTCAGCTTTCATCCCAAAAATACTTGGCTAGGGGTGCCTGAGAAAGAGATTAGAATAAGTCACGATTAGGGTCCAATCTGCTATTTTTCTGATTTTTTTCTTCCATAATCCAAGGGTTGGAGATTTTGTCCTCAAGATTCCTGCTCTTTGTGATCCTTGGGGCCACGGAAAGGGAGTTTCCTGTACTAAGAATGGAGACATGTTCCTAAGTCATTTCCCCAGTGGTGCAGGCCTGCTCCTCCACGTGGTCCCTGCCGGCTCTCCCAGCCGGCAACTTCTTTTCCCTGCTTCCCTGGAGCCTTCTCGCCTGGGCTAATTCTCTGGCAGACAGGTCCCAGCAGGCTGTGCACTAACATCTAGTGCCTCCTTGGAAACAAAGAGGACTTCAAGAGGGGTTGGACTACAGGAGTTCACTGCTGCTGTCATTTTGCCCCAGGTAAGGCTTGTGCAACCAGGAACCTGGAAAGTAAGGCAGTGATCAATTGTGAGAAACCACAGCCTTCAAACAGAGCTTCTGCAGAGCCATCTGGACAGGCTGAGCCTCCCTCAGGGGCCTCTTTCCAAAACCTCGACTGCCTAATTTGGAATCTCCCAAAAAGCTTGTTTGCTTTTGAGTGCACGTGATCTCTAAAACAGTTTGCTAAACAACTTGAATGAATCATCCGCTTCTACCTCTATTTATTCACCACCTGCTTCCATTTTAATCCAGGACAACCTGACTTCCATCAAACCTATCAATCCATCACCCAACACCTGATGCCCCAAGTGTACATAATTGTCCTCTGCACATCACACAGTAACTCATTTCTTGAAACACACCCGAGCTCTGAAAGGGCTGCAGAAATGAATGTCTCTCAGTAAAATCCCCATGTGTGCATCCAGTTCGCTCCACTTCACTGCAGTTAGGCAGTCAGCAAATCACAACTGCTGTTGGTCACCACCACGAAGAGAAGGCATTATTACAGGAGGGGCCAGTGCTTGCAACTCACAGCATCTAGGATGCTCTGTCCTTATCCTGTGCCCTATAGGAAGACACCATCTTTGGCCATAATAACTACTGGGCCATAAAAATGGACCCTGATTCCTAGTCCATTTTCTCAGAGTTTGCGTAAGTTCTCAACCCAAAAGTCCAAAAAAAAAAAAAATGAAATTTTACATGTAAACATGACTTTTCACTCACTTGAATCTTTTTCCTTCCCCTACACACAGGAGTCTTGCTCAGAGCATCCCTGGGCTGTGAACTGTGAAGAATGGCTGGAGGGGTAAAGACACGTTAGTGCAGGAAATCAATTAGCTGTCAGCAGTACTGTTGGAGTTGAGTCACTTTTGTCTGGCAAATGGACTTGGGGGCTTCAAGTAATGGAAAAGAAAAGCTACCAGGGCCAGGACTGGAGCTTCCAGACCTCTTCCTCACCCACACTTGCCTGTACATGGAAACAACACAGGGGCAAAGGGAGAGGATTGTCAGCTCAGGGAGGGGCAGGCAGGAGTTTTTTGTTTGCTCTTCCATCAGCGAATCTTAGTGGGCCCTAGGCCCTTAAGGTTCATCTTCCTTTTTCATCAGTTCCTGCCACACTAATGCAGGAGGTGAGAGGGCAGCACACAGACTGGCATGAGGTAAGGAAGGTGAGTCCACCTGCCAGCCGACAGAAGCTGCGACTGCGGCCCAGGAAGGCCATCAGGAGCAGCAGCTAAAAACAAGCATCTCCATTTCTCTATACAGAAAACAGACAGGGTCCTGGAAGGGGCGAGAGCTTACATTTTTTCTGTGCAGCAGCTTGTATGCCACACAGATCCAACACAGGAGGGAGTAAAATAGGAAACACAGTAGAGAAAACATCCCCTCACCATCCTGAATTGTTCAACTCTGGGGATTCGCTCTATTGTTGATGTTGTTAATTTCCTCTAGCTCCAACATTCATTTTCCAGAGACCTCTGTCCCTCAGTATGGTTTTGTGTTTGCAGATACAATCTATAAAACAATTTGAAGGGGAAAATATTTCAGTGAAAAGTGATAGGAAATTTAACAGAAGCTGGGTAAGCTTAAATTTCCTTCATGTACTGAGAATGAGCATTAACACAGAAGATTTAAAAGACAATGTGAATTTGTTCATGAAGCTGAAAAGACACACACTGGAAAGGCTGCGTGCACTCACTAAGAATCAAATCAGGGTGGCCAAACAGGCAGATGGACGCAGAGGGACAAGATGATGAAATAAGATGATCTCTAAACACTTGAGCACGCCCAGTTGTCAGAACATGGATTCATAATTTTACAAATCTCAAGGAGGAAAGAGATGACTATAAGATGTCATGTGATAACCATATTCAAATTATAATTCAGAGACCCTGGGTCTAAGCAGCCGAGACTTCGGGTCTGTCCATTTTATCCCAGGAGTTTCCAAGGCCCCACAGCATTGCTTGGTTTTGCTTTCTTTGCCTTTGTCTTTCTTTCTTTCCGTTTCCCTACAAAACCAAACAGACTTGCTCTCCAGGCTCCACAAAGAGAAAACTATTCCAAGAGGAAATCACTTCACAGCAAGTGAGCCCTGGGAAGAATTAAAGACTGGGGAGCCCTTGTAATGAGATTAAGGGAAAAATGCCTTTGTGCATCCAACTCCGGCCTGTCCTCATATGCCAGAGGAGCCAAAACAAACACTGCCATTGTTTCGGAAAGGAAAAGGTTAACAAGCTATGAAAACAAAATTACAGATATTTCCAAAGCATGACCCTCGGCAGAGTGAGTAGAATCCAGCCTGCCCAAGCAGAGGCATCCCCTCTTTGCTGCTATGTATCCTGAAACTTGGGGAGCAGCCAGCTGTGATACTCCAAAGGGTCGGAGGAAAGAAAGAATCTGCATGGCAGCCAAGCTGCATCCACAGGGTCCAGGGGAGGAAGACGCTCAGTTCCTCATTTCAGAAATTAGAGAAAATGTTGCCTGTGGGTCACGCAGAGCTCAGAACTCACACATTGTCTCCCCTCTGACAAAATCACTAGTCTGGAAATGGTATTCTGAGCTTGTTTCCAGATGTACTCTCTTAATGAGCCTAAGAACGAGATCTATGCCTCAGTTTCCCCTTCTAGTCCACTAACGTTCACTGTGTCCCCGGCTGAGGACTTCCTGCCATGATCTTGAAGTGGAGAGGTCCCATCCTTGTCCTGAAAGGTCCCACTGCCAAGATAATATGCAAAGAAATGGTTGTTATTGTAGTGCTTCATGAGCATGCACGTAATGTTTATCCAACATTACAAGTACAGCCGCAGCTATGGGAAGGGGGTGCCCAAGCTAAGAACTCATAAGTAATGTGTTCTCACCACTCATTATCCATGCAAAAAGATCGTCAGGGTCCCTGAGTGCCCAGGCCATCTTTAACTGAATGTTCACATATCCCGGCACTTAATCATAAATGCTTTTGGCGATAATCACAAGCAAGGTTTTGCAAATGGAAGCAAAAGCTCAAGCAAGAAACAGATGTGAATGTCACTCTATCTGTGCAGGTCTCCAGCTTCTTTCCACCAACACTGAAAATCTCCCTCATCACATGCCAGTCTCGGCTCTGCTTGGCTGAAGCACTGTTCTTGGCATTTAAGGTGAGCTTTCTAAACTGAGCTCAGAGTGAGATGGAGCAGAGTATTCCCAGTGTCTCTGGGATTAGTTTATACTCAGTGCCTCACAGACCTGGCTGTGATTTCCCGCAGCCTGACTTGATGACATTCATTTCCGTACCTCAAAAAGCAGGGGTACAGTATTAAGAGTGTGTGTGGCAGCTGGGGCATAGAAAGGTGGCCTGTCTAACATTAGCCAAAAAGATTGGTGATATTTTAAATTTGGTATGAGAAGCTGGAAGAATAATTATGCTGGTCATTCTTGATTGAGGGGGGAAATGACTTTTAATCTACTATTTGGTACTCTGGTTACCTATAAAGTCCCAATAGCTTTGGTAACTTAATGTGAAGTTAATCAGCCTTTTTATTTCCAGATTTACATATGAGATTTGAATTTTGCTTGCAGATAAAATTCTTATTTCATATTCATTTTATTCTTCAGACATAAGGTTTCTTTGCATGTATTCAGCATTATCTGGAACAAAATGACTAATGCTAGACCAGTTTCCTCTTGTGCTTCTGGGAGATTTCCCCTTCCTCTCTACCCACCCCAGTCAGGAATTTCTGTTGTGCTGAATGCCCTGGCATTTATTCCATTGGGCATTTTATGATTCTCCTAATGGACACAGTTTACATCTGACATCTCAAAAGTCATTCTAAAATATGTTCCACATTCTACAGTCAATGTTTTTAAAAAGTTTTTTAAATTATTACAGTAAAGGGCTAGAGATTTAGCTCAGTGGCATAAGCGTCTGCCTTGCAAGCCTGTGGTCGTGAGTTCGATCCCTGGTACCAGTAAAATACACACACACAAATTATTACAGTAAAAGATATTGCCATTAATTCCTCTCAAAATACTCCTCCTCACTTCAAACACATTTCTCCCATTGTCCTTGCCACTTTCGGAAGTTGTTCTAGAGTCCTCTTTCGTGAGTGTCCTTAGTTGCTCTTGTCATGGCTGAATCAGTTCAAACCTTTTACTTTTGATGGCGATTTTGACTTAGGAAAGAGTCAAAAGTCACATGATGCTATATCCAGTGAATAAGATGGACAAGGTCACACTAATGTTTTTATGAACCCACCTTCCCACTGGATGCACTTGGCAGTGACAGTGACTGAATGTTTGGTCACACCTCATAAAAACACTCATGAAAGAAGACTTCCAGAACTGCTTCAGAAAGTGACAAAAAGGACAATACAGTGTGTTTGAATGAAGAAGCAGGATTTTGGGATAATAGCAGCCTCCACATGCCACCCAAGTGACCTTTTGCAAACGGAAAAGAGGCAGTGATGCCCCTGCTCAAGCCCTTCAGAGACTCTGCCCAGGAAAGGTCTGCCATCCCCTCCCTGCCCACCCTCTGTCCACCTTCTCTCCAATCCTGTCTTCCTACTCACCCAGTTTCACTCCAGTTCAGCCACACTGGCCTTCCTGCTGTTGCTCATAAGCCTGTGCCTTACTGCTTTCCATCTGGGCTTCTCTTCCCTGCCGGACTCTGGTTTCCCTCTCCTCTGCAGGCTTGCTCAGGCTCACCTCTCAGGGGCTCACCCTATCCTCAGGTAGATTTGCTGCCCCATCCGCCCCCAACCTGCTCGGCCCCGCCGTGGCCAGTCTCTCTTCTCTCACTCTAGTGTTTGTTGCTTAATTTGCTAGTTTTGTTTTTTCCTATTCCTCTTTCACCTCCCATGAGTTAGAAAACCTTTGTTTCATTTACTGGAACATTCTAAACACTCTAAAACAGTGCCTGACATATAGTAAATACTCAATAAACACATGTGGAATGCAAGAACGACTCCAAAAGTTGGTGCATGCTGCTGGAAAGAGGATAGGTTAAAATTAGATGACCAAAGTTGCCACCTACTTGCTATAGGATCTTAGGCAAATCACTTTAGCTCTTTGAGCCAGTTGGATCTAGTCATGACAATAAAGCAGCTGAGATAGTGTTAGACATATCCAAACAGCTAAAGGCAGTTAGTGGCATGCTTATGACTGTTGTATATGCTGTTGTATACCTGCTGTAACACAGCAATTATCTCCGGAGTTCATTTTGGCCCAGTGTCCCCAGTGGAATCATAAACTGAGGACCAGGTGAGTGATCTTTGGCACCTGCCAAGCCTCCCTCCTTCCTGTCCCTGCTGCTCAGTTTAGTGAGAGGGAGGTGGAGACAAGTTCTGTCATCGCCAGGGCAATAATATGCTCAGCAACTCTGGCCCACCTGCCTTCCCCTGGACCTTCGAGTGGGTCAGGGCTGGCAGAGAGAGGCTGGCTCTTTCTGCTTCCCTTCCCCCAGCCAGGTCAAACCAGGTTTGGAGCCAGCCCCATTGCTCTAAGAAGCACAAGGACCAAGATAAAGGGCTTCTGGGTCTCAGTTCTGCTCTTGCTTGGTGAGTGGCACTGGGAACATCCCTGGCAAAGCTCACCTTTTTCATCTACTATCTCCAGAGGAGTGCCGTGAGAAGCAAATGAGATGCGGGTATCTTTTGCTCACCAGGGCTCAATGGACCAAGGGAGGAGAGCCCAGGGCAAAAAGTTCTCTCTCTCTCTCTCTCTCTCTCTCTCTCTCTCCATATATATATATCCCAGTGTTAACATCTAAGCTTTAAACATAACAAACGATCAAAACTCTTTGGCAACTCTGCTCTCTGTGGCTGATATAATTCAGTCATGCCATTTAAAACTGGATCATAATCTATTATCTTTGACTAAGCACTTTCATAAAATTCGACACTCTTGGATATTGGGTTATAAGTCTATTTGTGGTCAATAACAGTGTTTCCAAAGCTTACAAGAGATCTAAAGCCCTCCTTACCCAGGAGTTAGCTAGCACTTCTTGCATTTTTCTTTTTTTGCTTTGTATTTGTTTTTGTTTTGTTTTGTTTTTGTACCAGGGATCGAACTCACGACTTCACATTTGCCAAGCAGGCACTTATGCAACTGAGCTAAACCCCTGGCATTTCTTGCATTTTTCAAAATAAAATTAAGTCCCTGACTAGGGCTTCTCCTATGGTGGTGAGGTGGCTGTCTCCAGAGGCACTCGGGAGGTGGTGGGACAACACTCAGTCGATTGGATGAGGCACCTTTGACTTGGGCCATCCCATGTCTGAGATCTGTGGCTGCAGAGATGCTGCCACGTCTCCTCACGTGCTTCCCATCCTTTCCATTGCTTAATTTTCCATAGAGTATTAGCTGATGGAAAATGAAGGCACAAAACAAAGAGCTGTCCCCAGAGGACTCTGAGCCCAAAGCAGAGAATGTAGCAAGGTCACCCTAGGGATGCACATCTAGTCGAGATGATGAAGATCCAGGCAGAGAAGAACGTTCTCAGAGGAAACAGCCATACTCTCCAGTTCTGTTAGGGGAAATGGGCTAAGAGGAGCTCCCTGGAGGATGGGTGGGTGTAAGTTTGGAAAGGAAGACAAAAAGATTCTTGCATTTTGGAAAGTGCTCAAGTTCTAGACACTGTTGAACACTCAGGGGCACAGCCAGGCCTGGAAGTGAAAATGCACCTGTAAAAAGATGCTTCC